TTGTGCTTTTTATCATTATTGAATTCTTCATTAAAAAAAGAGGGCCAATAGATAATATGATCCTTTGCATATGAAACTATCCGAAACCAAGAGTTCCAACGTATTTTGTTATATAAAGGGATTTTGCATGGTGTAAAAATTCCATGCATTTTCAAATAAGCTAAGTATCTATCTCTTCGGGCAGGAGAATTAATGAAAACCTCTTTAATTTTATCCAAAAAAGACTTTAAAATATTAAATTGGGGTAATGTTCTCCACATATCCCTTTAATTTTCGTATATAGTTAAGAAAAACCAATTATTTTTTATTAATTAAAATTTTTTTCATATTAAATTAATTATACAAATTGAAAATTAAAAAACAAAATAATTGAAATAAAAAAAAATACAAAAATATTGAATGTCATACTATGAAATTTGCCTTCCCTTATAAATAAAAATAAATTATACATACCCGATAAGATTAAGAATATACGCACAATATGGTACATGTATTAATTGTGGTATTAATGGAGATAGAACCTCACGATGACATTTTTTCATATATGTCGCTGAGTCCATAAGAAATAGATGAGGTAAATTGAAGGATATATTAAAATGAGTGAGAATAGTGGTAAGAACTTGTCCCATTGTGATATTATTTACATGCTCAAGAAAATTAACTGAAACTAATTTTGTTTCGTTGTGATAACAAAAGAGGGTGTTTACAACACTTCAAGCACAATCATCAGTGGTCTCATCCATAATTATAGCCACTGGTTTTGAATCAAAAAGTAATTTAAGTGACTGAAAATGCTTGTCAAAAACATTAGGTAGATAATTTTGTCTAAGAGTAGGAGCTTGAGGAATAGAACCACCGTTTTTAATGTGTTTTTTAAAAAATAAAAGTAGTGAATTGACCTTTTTAAGAGGAATGTCTGCTGTTGCAAACACTTCTATAAGGTCTTCAATAAGTTGTTTTTTTGCTTCAGCAGTCGCTTGAGTAGATGAAAGGGTAAGTTGTGTATTATTATTTTGAGTTTTTTTTGACTTCTTACATTAGAAATGTTTTTTTGACTTTTGCAATGATTATTTACAGTAGATTTGCGCTTCCAATCCACAGAAATATTGCAATAATTACAAAAGAGAATATTGTCATCAACTTGGAAAATGTCTTTATATTTATTACATCTAGCATGAATTGATGTGGTTTTTTTTGACATTGTAAAAGAAAAAAAGATTATCGAACTGATAATCCCGTACTTCGCAAATCATAGTAAATTAAATATATTTTACTGCGGATTATGCGTTCTGTTAAGGGATAATTTAAATTATGTGATTTTATAACGCGATCAACTTGAATTATGCATTTATCGCATAATTATGTGTTTAACGTGATATTATGTAATAGCATAAAATCATCGTCCCTGCTACAGCCACTCTTAAGGAGGCTATATCAGCTCGTAATAATCCTATATCTTCCCTCAATTCAGATATATTGATCTCATTCTTATCAAATTCTGCTAATACAATCTTCTGCACGCTTCCAATGATCACTTTTACAAATTCTTGCTTGGCTACGCTAGCTTTTCTCCATCCATGATAGATGAATTATTTGTAGTCTTTAGCTAATGTATATCACCAGAATATCTAATCTATCTACCTCTGAACTTCAATTTTTGTTGACTTATATTTGATCGAGATATTAGAGTTATCAAAACTGAAAATATCACATTATCACTATTTGTTGCTTGCTAAAGATGAATGGTGTGAATTATCAAAGGCAAGCAAAGGATATTGGCAAATTTGTAAAAATGCTTAGCAAGAATTTCTGTTAGACAATTTCGTGTATGCGAGCAATCTAGCAAAAGATGATAAAGATAATAATAATAATAATTTTATGATGAAGTAGAATAGAAGAAGAAAAAAGAAAAGAAACAATAAATAAAATAGTAGAAAGTAATGAAGGGAAAAATAATAATACTAGTGATGATTATTAAAAAAAATTGGGCAAATTATTTTTAATATATTTAAAAAATAATTTTGCATTTAAATATGTAAATTAGCTATATAATATTATATATAATATTATACATATTAGCTGAAATTACTATTAAATGCATGTGATCGTTATAACTGATACACTAAATTCATATGTCGATCATCTGACTCTTTTCTTCTCATTTAATATTTAGATCTTTAGGATAATTAGAAATTTCTTTTTCTTTATTTTATTAACGGACATTGTGTAATAATAACTACAAGTGTTACAAAACTTTATCAACAACTTTGACATACCTTTTAATGTTTACATATACTAAATTTTTATTGGCTAATTTTGTATTACAACATCAATCATTTCTTACTTATTAGGCTAATTCCACAGATCTGCACATATATTTTTTATTTTAGGGATCTTTTTAGTACGTGGTTTTTATCCAAAAAATCCTATATTACAAAGAAACTTTGGCACCCTCTTCACATCCAATTCCAAATGACTTTATAGTTCAAATAACTAAGAAACAAAGTACAAATAAATATACAATTCAGTGTTCAATAATATATACCAATAATAGCCTGTATATCAAGATGCATTCGGTAATAACTTCTCTGAACAAGTTGTTTCATATAAATCTCCTTCAAATGCTACTATATTATTACATAAGATTAGTATATTATAAAATTAGTATAATTTTATCGTTATGAATATTTAATAAGTTTAATTATTCTAAATTATAGAAAATTACACCAGCAACTAATACATAAACCTCAGTGGTACTTTTATTTAGCCTTCAATTAGAAACTAAACAACAACATCGTGAAAGACCACCTGAAAAACATATTTTAAAACCAGTAGATCAAGCTACCCACTCTACTCTTACAAAAAGAGCTAAAAATGTTAGCAAGCATGATTTTACAAGTATATCTAAATAATATTATAATTCTATAAATCAACCTATTTTAAAAGAACTTCAATTTTCTGTACAAAATCATAAATATAAAATTAAATTTGGTGATCAAAATAAATCAATTTTCTTATTGTATAGGTCACCTGAGTGTGTTTTAACTTTTTTGAATGTTATATTAATAGATTTTAAAAAAATAAGTTTAATTATAAGAATAAGTTTGAAATTTTGAAGATAGGGTTTAAAGTTAGGAAAAATGATAATAAGAATTGCATTTTGATAAAATCAGATATTACAAAAGAGGAATCAGTAAATATATTAATAAAGAATTTGATAAAGATGTAAATATTATGATAATGATAGCAATTAATTTTGCTAGAGAGGATGAGAGTTATGTAAATAAAATGAAGTATTAAATGAAATATTAGGCCTAAATCTTCTTATAAGCTAAGCCAGTTCATAAGCCTCATAAGCTGACTTGCTAAGGTTTAACTTGAGCTATTATAAAATAACTTATTAGCTAATTAAGCTAGCTCATGTCATAGCTTAGCTCATAATACAGCTCAGCTTGTTAAATAGATTTTTTATTTTCAAAAATAATAAATCCAGTAAATTAACTTTGAAGAATAATATTTTAGGCAATAATTTTTTTAAAGTTAAATGATTCTAGCAATGTTTTCTTCAAAGAAAAGATTCTGATAAAGTTGTTTTAAAGTAAAATAATTCTGATAATATTTTTTCAAAGAATAATATTTTAGAGTATTTCTTTTAAATAAAAATACTTTTAAGTACTTTTTTAAATATAACGCTTCTGGAATATTTTATTTAGATTTAATATTTTTGTTTAAATAATAATATTTTTGTAGTGTTAAATTTAAATAAAAATGCTTTTGTAATATTATTTTTAAATAATAACATTTCTAGAATATTACTTTTAAAAAATGCTTTTGTAGTGATTTTTAAATAATAATACTTTTAAAGTATAACTTTTAAAAAAATGTTTTTGGAGTATTAATTTTAAAAAATAATACTTCTAGATTAATAATAATGTTTCTAAAGTATTAAATTTAAATAAAAGTACTTACAAATTATTATACAGTCAAATCTCTATAAATACACCTAAAATGTATTTAGAAAGGATGTATATTATAGCTAATTTCATAATCATAAACCATTAATAATTTTTCAATCACATTTAGTCGCAATATATTATAATAATTTTATTACAAAATATTATTAGTCACATTCAGTTGCAATTTATTAGTAATCCATAAATTATGAAATTAGCTGTAAGAGAAATTATGTATTTTAACAGATTTTTATAATATAATAACAATAAATTTATTTGTTTATATTATATCTGATACTAGATTTACAATTGATTCTTCTATTTGTCTAATATTTAATGAAAAATTTGTATTGAATCATTACTATTGCTATTTATTATTGAATAAATTAATCATTTCTAAATTTTTTATTATATATAATCACATGATATGCATTTAAAGAATAAAATTGTAATATGAAAAGACTGGAAACTTCTTACATATGCAGAATATAAAAAATACTAGGATTCCGCAATTCAATTTGATATTTGAATATTTGATTTAATTTGATCAAATTCAAATCAAGAAATGATTTATTTGATTAAATCTAAATTAATGTTGAATTCAATTTGATCAAATTCAAATTGAGTATTCAAATATTTAATTTGATTTGAATTAATAGTAAAGCTATCTCCAATGCTTCAGGAGTAATTTTATTAAGAAAACCATAGTAAAAAGCACTTCCGCAACCTCAAAAATACTTTTTTTACTAAAAAACCATAGTAAAAAGTGCTTTTTCAAGCTTCAGAAATGCTTTTTTACTAAGAAAACAGTAAAAAATGTCTCCACAGCTTTAGAGACACCATTTTATTAAGAAAACATAGTAAAAAATGCTTCCACAACTTTGGAGATGCTATTTTACTAAGAAACCTAATAAAAAAATACATTTGTAGCTTCAGAAATGTCTTTTTACTAATAAAATTGTTATGAAGTTGAGATAGCGATTATTATTAAGTTTTCTTAGTAAAACTAAAGCCGCGATGGCAGTTATTACTAAATTTTCTTAGTAAAACTGAAACTGTGAAGGCAGTTATTATTAAGTTTTTTATTAAACTAAAGTTGCAATAGCGTTTATTACTAAGTTTTCTAAACCGCGATGATGGTTATTACTGTTTTTTTAGTAAAACTGACATTGCGAAGTTATTTTACTAAGTTTAATAATAAAAATTTACCTGTTACTAAACTTACTTTATAAAAGTTATCTTTGAATTTTTTAGTGTAATGATTAATAATTTTTTTAATTAAAACTTTAGAATAACTTTATTTTAATATATTATTGTAAAAATTAAAAAAAATTTATATTCAATTCAATTCAATTTGATTGATTTGATTTGATTTGATTCGATCAAATATTTGAATAAAAATGCTTCTAATGTATTAATTTTAAATAATAACACTTTAAAAAGTATTATTTAAATAAAAATGCTTATAAAGTGTTATGTTTAAAGAAAACTCTTCTAGAATATTAATTTTAAAAATAATGTTTCCAGAATATTTATTTAAATAAAAATGTTTTCAGAGCATTACATTTAAAAGAAACTCTTTCAGAATATTAATTTAAAAATATTTCTAAAACGTTTTATTTAAATAAAATATTTTAAATAAAATATTATATTTAAAAAATGCTTTTGAAGTGTTAATTTTAAAAAAATATTAGTTTTAAAATATTTTTAAATAAAAATACTTCCAAAGCATTTTTTTGAAGAAATTGCTTCTATAGCTTTTCTATTGAAGAAATTTATTTCTAAAGTGTTTTCTTGTAGAAATTATTTTTAGAAACATTTTTTTGAATAATATCATTTCTAAAGCAAGATTTTTTTATCTTGCATTCTGAAATGATTATTGATTTCACAAAGAACCTTTTTGAATATTGACAAATTTATTCATGCTTTAGGATTATTTTGATAATAGATAGGAAGACATTCTAAATTAATCCTAGAAAAAGGTCTTAGACGCTTCGATTTGTCAATTACCTATGGCTTTAACTTATCAGTTTCTATTACATTAATGCTAAAGAAGACTGTAATTCATATTTTATTCTTCTTTTGACCAGAAACTGGCTTTATTGATAGTGTTTGGCTTGGAGACATTCAATAAATAAGGCCCTATATTTAAAAAAATAAAAAATATTAATATTTTTATTTATTTTGCAATGTATTTAATTGAAATAATCTCTGAATTAGCCTTTTGAAAACTTTAAATAGCATAAATCTCATAATTTCACCAAATTAGCAGTGATAGTAAATTAGAATAATAGGCTATTTAAATTGATATTTTAATACCCTACTATTAGTATTTTTTTTTTATAAAAAAACTGAAAAATTTACTATTTCATCGATATTATAAATTTGGTTAAAAGTACAGTGGCTTACAAAAGAAACGCAAGTAGAGTTGCTTGCCTTTAAAAGCTTATAACTCACCAACCACGAATGCTAG